CCGCAGTGACCACCTCACCACCCACATCCGCACCCACACCGGTGAGAAGCCCTTCGCCTGTGACTACTGTGGCCGAAAGTTTGCCCGGAGTGATGAGAGGAAGCGCCACACCAAGATCCACCTGAGACAGAAAGAGCGGAAAAGCAGTGCCCCCTCTGCCTCAGTGCCAACCCCCTCTACAGCCTCCTGCTCTGGGGGCGTGCAGCCTGGGGGTACCCTGTGCAGCAGCAGCAGCAGCAGCACTCTTGGTGGAGGGCCGCTCGCCCCTTGCTCCTCTCGGACCCGGACACCTTGAGATGAGACTCGGGCTGACACACCAGTTCCCAAAGGTCCCGGAGGCCCTTTGTCCACTGGAGCTGCACAACAAACACTACCACCCTTCCCTGTCCCTCCCTCCCTTTGTTGGGCAAAGGGCTTTGGTGGAGCTAGCACTGCCCCCTTTCCACCTAGAAGCAGTTCCTTCCTAGAATTTAGCCCATTCTAGTCTCTCTTAGGTGAGTTGACTATCAACCCAAGGCAAAGGGGAGGCTCAGAAGGGGGTGGTGGGGGACCCCTGGCCAAGAGGGCTGAGGTCTGACCCTGCTTTAAAGGGTTGTTTGACTAGGTTTTGCTCCCCCACTTCCCCTTATTTTGACCCATCACAGGTTTTTGACCCTGGATGTCAGAGTTGATCTAAGACATTTTCTACAATAGGTTGGGAGACGCTGATCCCTTCAAGTGGGAACAGCAAAAAGACAAGCAAAACTGATGTGCACTTTATGGCTTGGGACTGATTTAGGGCATGCTGTACAGTGAGTGAAGTATGGCCTTTATGCCGCACTCTGTGGCCCTAGAATGGCGAATCAGAGCATATCTAGTTGTCTCAACCCTTGAAGCAATATGTATTATAAACTCAGAGAACAGAAGTGCAATGTGATGGGAGGGACATAGCAATATCTGCTCCTTTTCGAGTTGAGAAATGTAGACTATTTTTTCAGTGTATATCCACTCAGATTTTGTGTATTTTTGATGTACACTGTTCTCTACAATTCTGAATCTTTGGGAAAAAATGTAAAGCATTTATGATCTCTTGAAATGAGTCAGAGGTTAACTTATTTAAGGGGGATGTACATATATTCTCTGAAACTAGGATGCATGCAATTGTGTTGGAAGTGTCCTTGGTGCCTTGTGTGATGTAGACAATGTTACAGGGTCTGCATGTAAATGGGTTGCCTTATGGAAAGCAAAATCACTCCCTGGGTTTAGTATGGCTGTATATTTCTGCCTATTAATATTTGGAATTTTTTTTAGAAAGTATATTTTTGTATGCTTTGTTTTGTGACTTAAAAGTGTTACCTTTGTAGTCAAATTTCAGATAAGAATGTACATAATGTTACTGGAGCTGATTTGTTTGGTCATTAGCTCTTAATAGTTGTGAAAAAATAAATCTATTCTAATGCAAAACCACTAACTGAAGTTCAGATAATGGATGGTTTGTGACTATAGTGTAAATAAATACTTTTCAACAATATTTTTGTTGCAGAAATCATTTCTGAAATACTTACTGGGTGGGAATTAAACAGTCATTCAGTCTCTGTGGCAGTATTTTTTAAAAACAGCCCTAAGCACCAGTGAAAATGCTTTGACCAAACCATGGTCTCCAGGTCTTCTTTGCTAGCCTCTGGATACCAGCCCCAAAGCAGGCTCCATTCATAATCAAACACTAGTGTTCTGGGGATTTCCCCCATGCATTAGTGTAAAAGTGGGGAGGCGTTGTTTTGACTCATTGTTCCGTTGTCTCTAACAGCCTATAGCTTCTCTCCGCTCCTGAGTGGGCTCCGGAAAATAAATACTTACAAACAAGTGCCCACTCGGAGACTACACATTTGCAACCGCTTTCAGAACCCTGACCAGGGTCTGGAACTCAGACGAGATGTGGCTTTGTGGAAAGTGTGGTGGCGTGGTCAAGCTGGAAATGACTTTCAGCTTCCAGGATTAGTCTCATGACCACAGAAAACTTTTTGAAAAGCGCTATCATATCTTCAGATCGAAAATGATCCCAGACGCTGCTGATGACAGCATGAATGGGTTGCTAAAGGAATTACCCCAGAACTCATTTCTCTCCAGCCTTCACTTCCCAACTGATTACCCCTATCTGAAAGGATCATTGATCTGCCAAAGGTTTGGTGGGTCTAGAAGTGACCATCAAAATACTCAACTCATTAGATATAGATGCCTCAAGAAAATCTCAAAGATGATCTAAACTAAATAGGCCAATATAGTATAGTCCTCCATGGTACTGGATAAGGGTTTGCAAAGAATATACTGTAGGGTTCGTTTTACTGCAAGTCTTTTGTAGTGGTTTTAAAATATAAATTCACCAAAAAATAGTTAATTTAGCCACAAGTAAACAGATGATGCCTTTGTGAAGTTATCATCTTTACTGTAAAATCTGGGCCTAAATATCATTTACGTTCACCCACCTCTGGATCCTTACACAAATGTAACGTGTTGCAGCAGCGTCCACTGTTTAGCTGACATCTGAAAATCCCTTTGTCTATTTGCCCTTCAGTGCTGTTAAGACTCCCTCAGGCTCAACCTGTATTTCAGAACAGCAGATGGTTACAGCTACTCTGGAAACCACCTTTTGCCCTTACCAGCACTAGAATTTGAGATCCGATTTGTGGAGGGAATGAATGCCTTTCTTCTATATCTCTTCTCCATCCCTATTTCAAGGATGTAGAATCCCACTATTCTACTATGAAACAAGAGGTTTCCGAACTTGTTTCAGATTTTTCTAGTGACTGGTGCTTTCCCATTAGTTCCTATTTCCCAGCTTGTTGGCATAGTATCATCCTTGCTTGTCCAACTTTAGTAAGTATCAGACAATGCTACATTTTGATAATTACATGATTTAAAAGAATACTTCCTTCCTACCAAGATTTCATTATATTAAAATATAGAATACCCAAATTTTGTAAGATATATTTGTCTTGCCAAATTCTAATTTTAGAGGATCTTCAATCAAGATAATCTAAACAATTACTTACAAAGCAGTAGACTCAAAAGTCATCTCAAAAATAAAAAAGAAGATATTTTGATGACAGCAAAATTGGTTACATAATCACTTTCACCCTGACGTGAGCTTGGTGAGGTAGCATTAACACACATACCATAAGGAACACCACACCTCAGCGTTTTCTCAGAGCCAACCTTGTGGCTTTTACTAGTAGATTTCAGTATGTAAGGTCAGTATCTTTAATCCGATTTTGCTCTCTACTTAAAATGTTCAGGGTGCTTCTTGCACATGTCTCATTTTTTACATTGCTCAAGAAATAAAGCACAGAAAAATGTCTTCTTCTAATCTTGTATATATACTTCTGGAGAATAATTTCTTAAAGATTCATAGTGCTTTTGAGATAGTTCAATTCATATTAAAAATGGGTTGATTATACCTACATAAGGCTTACAAGTGTTCACAAACCAGGCTATTTAATTTGATTATCCCAGCTGCTAATAAGATTAAGGCAAATTATTTCGTGTATGTTAAAAATGGCTGCAGTGACATTTTAACCATTTAATACCACTTTTGTGTGTGTGTGTATGGAGAGTGGGGGGAAGAGCAGTCAGCATTAAAAAGTCCCAAAAATGCTGCCAGCAGAAGCTAAAACTAAACAAATTCTACAGGAGAACAAAAAAGAAAATAAGTCCTGAAACTCTTTTCTTCCAGAATGAAAGTATTTTTGTTTTCTTGTATAGTACTATCTTATTTTCCTTAGGTTAAATACAAAGTAAGCTTTTTCCTGTTATAGCAAAATAGTCCAATTAGACATTAGCTTCAGATGTGTTTTCCCTCATGCTGTTTCAAAGCTCACTCTCAAGGAAATAAACTATTTTTAAGTGTATATTACTTGGGCTTTAAAATCTGCAGAAGGCCACTAGCTTTTAGTACATAATCTTACAGTATACATTGTGAACCTTTAATGGTAATCAAACTGTAGACATCAGAGCAGGCAAGCTTTTCCCTGTCTCGCAATAATCAAGTAAGAATTATCTCTAAACAATTTGAAACATGTCTTCATTTTCCATAAGTACACTGATTTTGTTTTTCTTTTTTTGGCATGCAGTCTCGCTCTTGTCGCCCAGGCTGGAGTGCAGTGGCACGATCTCGGCTAACCACAACCTCCACCTCCCAGGTTCAAGAGATTCTCCTGCCTCAGCCTTCTAGGTAACTGGGATTACAGGTGCCCACTACCATGCCTGACTAATTTTTGCACTTTTAGTAGAGATGGGGTTTTGCCATGTTGGCCAGGCTGGTCTCAAACTCCTGACCTCAGGTGATCTGCCCGCCTCAGCCTCCCAAAGTGCTGGCATTACAGGTATACTGATTTTAATCCAGAAATGCAAACATCCCCAGATTTGGGTTTGAAGATTCAGTATCTATAAGGGACTTGACAAATGGTTTCCTTCTTTGACAGCAGATGCCTCATTGCAATGGAAGTGATCAGTGATTGGCTTCTGTATATACGTTTAAGTTATTTAGACCTGCAATTACAGAAGTAGCACTGCTCTCAGGTTAGAATTGGAAAGCAATAGGCAAGCCCTGAATTAAAGATATATTGCTTCTTCACTGGGCTGGAGAGCTAGAGCACAAGATTCAGAATCAGTAACAGATGAGTAATGGCAGAGTCCTCCCGAGATGCCAGGACTGAGGCACCTACAAGGAGACAATGAAAAGGGGGAATAAAAGGTGTGTATTTTGGGAGAAGTTCAGGGTTACTAGTGTTAAAAGCTCAGAAAACCCTCTCCCGTTGACAAAACACATATTATTTAAAAAGCAGGCTATCACTTTCATTAATAAATAGCAGTTGGTGTAAATGCAACCCATTCAAATCAGGCTTAGTAAAAATCAATTCTCATAAAATAGCTAAGTGGGTACACAATACTCTGCATTGATATAACTGGCCACTGACAGAACCAGATACTTTAAAATCTTCAGAAGCATTTAGACAGACAATTTCTCACCCATGAGGCAATTATTGCATTTATTATTCACCACAAAAGTGATTAGTATCATTGTGCTCATTAGTCTTTCCTAGGGGAAGACAACTTTTATCCCACAGTTGTTATTAAAAATTATCTATATTGGAGGGAGTATATAGAAACACAATAGCAACATATCAAGTCAGTCATGACGAATAGTTTATGCACGCAGGTGCAACATACTTTCTGCACCACACTTTGTCTTTGTAATAAGCATATTCTTTCCTTAGTGGCTCACTAAAACAAGTTACATTTTGTCTTCACCACTAATTTACTCAGAATTTATTAGTGAACCAAAACTTTCACTATTCTTATTGAACTGAATCTGAGATATCATATTGCTGTTTTGGCCTGCAACAATTTCAGTTACTCTTTTGAAAGCACCTTAGGTATTTTCTTCCAATTTGCTTGTAACTGAAAACTTTAAAACGTTTTTTTTTTTTTCATAATGAAGTCATAATTCTTCCTTTATTACTATCCTACAGCCAGGATGAGTTTTTGTAGGTTAGTTTAATGTACTCTAGGTTGTATTATAACACATACATTGCTATTAATAATCTTTGTAAGCTAATCAACTTTTTGCTACAATATAATCCAAAAAAGTATATGATTGGTAACCACATTCATTACCGTGCTATGGAAAAAAAAAACAAAAACCTTTTATTTTGTGAAGTTTTCTAAGAAAATCATTTGCATATCTAGAATTTTATTTTCAAACTAAGTGGCATGAAGAACTGCTTCGAACTGCCCCCAAAGGCATTTTAAACGACATCAGAATGTGGAGCTACAATAAAACAATTTTAACAACCCTGGAGGAAATACTTGGTACTATGCCTGTGTCAGGTTTTATAATAAAGTGGCATGTCCTGTGGAATATCTTTTTGTGTTTTGTTTTGGTTTTATTTTTAAATCACTCACCAAGTATTTGCTTTTTTATACTATCTTAAAAACTGGGAATACTCTCTCACCCTGGGTCTCTGTGTGTATAAAGAGGCAAAGGCACATACTCTTTCTCTACATACCGGTTCAACATTCCACCAACAATAGCAAATCTCCCTTTATTATAGATATTAGAACTCTATTGCCACTTGGGCAAGTCAATTAAGAGGGCTTAGACGACAGCTGGGCAGATTTTAATGTGTTTATTTCTACAATTTGTTTTTATTAAAAGTTTTGTGAAAAAAGGAATCTTATAAATAGTAAAAAGGGAGAAACAGTGCTCCATGGCCTGAAGCAAATGGTGTCAATACATCTGTAAACAAGGTGAGACTGCTCAGACTATTAAACGCACAAAAATAAAACTAGTCACAGAGAGCAAGACTGTTCATTTCAGGGTTTGGGAGTGGGAAGTGGGAAGTGTTTAATCCCAAGTTTTGGTGCCCTAAAATGGCTAGCAGTCTAGTTAATTCTCAATTCTCCAGCTGTGATCTTCTGTGCCTTCTATCTCTTCCTACAGAAAACCACATTAGATGAACCCAGCGCTCAGTCGTTTTAGGGAGAGGGTTGAGACAACACTGCCAGCAACACAGCTGGAAATACCCGAGTCGGGAACATTAGAGTTCCTGAGAGAATGTGAAACAGCTATCAACATAATATTTCTCCCTACTTTTACAGTAAAATATTGGAAGTAAATAAAGATAGGGAATACGACAGCTGGCTAGGAGTGTTTTACATTCAGTTGTTTGGAAGCATAACACATTCAGCTCCTTTGAATCTTCCCGTTAGAAAACAGAATTACTCTATCACCTTTTAAGGTACAGTAAGACAAGAAAAAAAGTCATGTGAGGATAATACAGTCTTTGCATTAAAGGTGAATCTGCAACATGAAATCTGCTCAACTCACAGATCTGGAGATTCATAGGGAAGATAAGCTCTAAGTGACCATGTCACAGAGATTATGCAGGTGCTGAATTTCTTAGTAGATGCTGCCTGAGTAAACCAGATGTGGCTACTGGGCACAGGGAGGAAAGCAAATAAATCTTGTCCTCTACATGCATAGTTATGTTGTGAGAGTGATCCCCAAACTGAAAAAATCATTTAATTTTCACAAGGAATTAATTAGGCAGGCCAGCTCACTTTAAACAGTAGCTCATCTCTTTAAACCTAGTTTTTACCAATGACTTGAACTAAAAACAATTCAAACCACTGGGTCATGCACAGTCAATAAGTTAAAACTGCAAGAAAAAAAGGGCATAAGGGCATGAGTGGAAAATAAACCCTATTTACCTAAGGGGTGGGGAGTGGGAGGAAGAAAACCACTTAGTATTTTGTATAGAATGGGGAAGAGAGGAAGATACTTTCATTATGGCTTTAGGATGGAAGCGCTTCAGATGGTCCCCTGCCCCATTCCTCCAAATCAAAGCCCCAGTGGCAGTGACGGTACCAGGAAACAATCTAGCCTCCCCGCCCACTCCGCCCCCATAACCGTGCCCGGCGGCTGCTGTCCAGTGGCCCGTGCTTCCCAAGGCTGCCGAGGAAGCGGCTGCTGCTCATTCCAGTAGATCCAACGCCCAGGCTAGGGGGTAGAGAGAGACACAGCCCTTGTGGTAGGGTAGGGCACGTCTTCGGCCCACTGCTCCTGGGCGCCGGTGGCTTCAAGGGAAGACCTTGGGACCTGGATAGGGTTCTCCCTCGCACCAGAAGTCATCGGCCTGTGGGGTCTCCAGGAGCCACACCTCTCGGGGCAGGTCACAGGCCGAGCTGGAGGCCTCCTTGGGCCTGAGCGGCTCCAGCACCCGGTAATAGTGGCAGTCCCGGCCGTCGTCCGGGTCGTAGGGCGGGGCCAGGATGTCCAGGAAGGCGGCAGGCCCTTCCACGGCGTCGATCTGGTGCAGGTTGTCCCGGTGCGGTGTCAGGATGCAGGGGCCGCTGGCCTCGGTGTACTCGGCCCGCGAACGCAGCACGCCCGGCCGCACTGCTTCTCGCTCCCGGGGCTGCAGCGGCGGCTCAAACTGCTGCTCGGGCGGCAAGGCCCGCGGCCGTTGCCCGCCGCCCGCGTCCAGCTTGTCCATACAGCTGATGCGCACGGTGCCGTATAGCACCTTGAGCATGCCATGCATGCCCGGGTGGTCGTGCAGCGGGATGGACGTGCCGCTCTTGAGCAGGAACACGCCCAGGCTGAAGCCGTCCGTCTCGTAGATGTGCATGTAGGTGACTGGCGGCAGGTTGGGCGGCAGTGGCTGTAGTGTGGCCTTGCGCGGGGCGATGTTCAAGTCCTCGGCGCGGACCTGGGTCAGAAGGCTCTTCAGCTTGCTCAGGTTCTCGGGGAAGCCCGGCGGCATCGGCGCCTCCGGGCCAGAAGCCGCGCCGCGATCGGAAGCGCCGCGACCGCCCCCGCTGTCCCGGAAGGTGAGGCAAGCCTGGCGGGCGATCCGTTGGATCAGGGAGGCCATGTTGTCTCGGGGCATGGTCGGCTGCTCCTCTGCGTACCGGGACCGGCCCCCTCCTTTCCTCCGCCCCTTGCGGTCCCCGGCGGCCGCCACGGCTGCCCGCAGCCCGGGTCGAGGCGGGAGGCCCCGCAACCACCGGCCCGTCGGGCGCGCGGCACCGCCGCCAACCTCAGCAGCCACGCGCCCGCAACTGCCCGGCGCGCTCGCCTTGCGCCCCCTCTGAGCGTGCACGCGCACGCCCCACACCCCGCACTCACGCTCCGGGAGCAGATACCGGCCGCGCGGACGGTGCCAGGCTTTGCCTTACGCCCGGTGCTCCATTCATGCGGCCCGCACCTACGACGGTGGCCGGGCGCCCGGGGACCCTGCAGAGCATGCCGGGACTTGTAGTCCGGCCTTCCGCTTGAGCGCTGAGAGAGTTCACTTAGTTGATTGGAAAATGGAGGAACTATTACACATGTTGGGAATAAAGCGATCTTTTTCAGGATGCAGAGGTGTTTTTCTTGTTTTAAAAAAGATGACTCGAGGTGCAAGAGTAGTAGTCACTTGACTACAACTCCCGGCATCCCCCGCAGGGTGGAGTGACGCACTTCCCTCAGCTGGCCCGCGAAGTAGTGGAGGCTCTTGGCCTTCATAAGTAACAGGGCAAGGAGGGTCGTTAACCTTCTGGCGCCGCTGGGGCCTGGTTAGCCATGCAGGATCGCCTTCCTTTGGCCTTGCCCCTGGGAAAGAGGCTGTTGAGTCAGCCTTAGCTCCTCATAGCCGCCTAGGTAGCACTGTCTCCCACGGGAATTGTAGGAGGGCGCTTTTGTAATTTTGTGTTTCCTAGGAGGGGAGGGGGTCCAGGCCGTCCTCTGTGATCACCAAGGTTACTCGGCCCAGCTGGGCCCAGTTGTTGTTTGCATCAGGACCTGATAACGCAGCTCTTCTGGTCACAGAGCACGATAGCTTTTTGCTGGAGAGGCTTGAGAGGCCATTTACAGTGGTCATGGATTCTGAATACTAGTGGTTGTCAAATCTTAGTTTGCCTGAGAAGGGGGAGGGGGCTTTTATAAATGCGGATTCCCTGTCGTCACCCAGAGATGGAGTTACTAGATGGTTCTGAGGCAGCCTAGGAGAAACAGTGGTGTGCAACAGTCAGTTCAATCAGTAATTGTGAAATTAGTTCACTACACAGAGGCATCCTGCTCTGTGGCGTGAACTAACTTTTGACATAAGTAAATGACTAGAAAAGCAAGACATTAGATACTATGACTGTAAACTTAACCCAGAGTTTAAAGTCTGTTTGGACTCCAAAGCTGACCATGGGTTTCTTGTACATTTTGTAATTGGAGTGATTCAGTAAATCCTCTCCAGTTAAAATAGGCATACTTTTTTAGTGAATTACATAACCTGGCTAATGAGTACTCACAATATGCCAGGCACTGTGTTAAGTGAATTATATAACGAATGTTATACTATTTAATCCTTGCAGCATCTCTTAAGAGGCAGGCACTATTATTATTCCCGGATTGCAGATGAGGGAATAAGTTGTAGGATAGTGAATACTAAGTACTCTGCAAGGCATAAGCAGCAAAGCAGAAATAAGTACAGTCTTACCAAAAGCAGCAGCTTGAATTGGTGTAAAAGGACCAAACAAGAGTCAGGATATTGTTATTCCAGCCTAATGTGCCACTTACAAGCTGTGTGTCGTTAGGCAAATCCCACCCTTTTAGGTCCTCAGTTTTTTCATTTGTAGAATGCCGGTGTTAAGGGAACAATAGTTCTGAACGCTACTCATCAGAAACCCTGGGGAGCTTAAAAAATAAAGATCTTGGGGGTCACACCTCAGAGATTTTGATTCAGAAGAACTGGAGTGAAGCCTTTTTTTTTTTTTTTTTTTTTTTGGAGCCATAGCAAGGTTTATTGTGAAGAGCAAAAGAATAAAGCTTCCTCAGCGTGGAAGGGGACCCGGGGCGGGTTGCCCCTATGATTTATATTTAAGATGCTCCCTCGTGCGATTTTTATTATTGTTATCAATATTATTTTTGAGACGGAGTCTCGCTGTGTTGCCCAGGCTGGAGTGCAGTGGCGTGATCTCGGCTCGCTGCAAGCTCCACCTCCCGGGTTCACGCCATTCTCCTGCCTCAGCCTCCGGAGTAGCTGGGACTACAGGCGCCAGCCACCACGCCCGGCTAATTTTTTTTTTTTTTTTTTTTTAATTTAGTAGAGATGGGGTTTCACCGTGTTAGCCAGGATAGTCTCGATCTCCTGACCTCGTGATCCGACCACCTCAGCCTCCTAAAGTGCTGGAATTACAGTCGTGAGCCACCGCGCCCGAACAAGCGATTCTTGATGATTAGCCCAGTTTAAGAACCACTGGTAGATCTGTAAATAGTGAACCGGCTCTCATTAGTTAAAAGGGTGGTTATTTGCTTTAGGAAAGGATTGTTAAGATTGATTGATTTTCGGCCGGGTGCGGTGGCTCACGCCTATAATCCCAGCACTTTGGGAGGCCGGGACAGGCGGATCACGAGGTCAGGAGATCGAGACCATCCTGGCTAATACGGTGAAACCCCGTCTCTACTAAAAATACAAAAAATTAGCCGGGCGTGGTGACGGGCACCTGTAGTCCCAGCTATTCGGGAGGCTGAGGCAGGAGAATGGTGTGAACCCGGGAGGCGGAGCTTGCAGTGATCCAACATCGACCGCTGCACTCCAGCCTGGGCGACAGACAGAGCGAGACCCCGCCTCAAAAAAAAAAAAAAAAAAAAAAAAAATGATTCATGTTCAGAGGTTGCCATGCCATTGTTACGTTATTTAAATGTACTTTCAAAGCTCATAATTAAATTTCATACAGTCTTTTTCTAAAGTGAGGAATATTTGAGAGTAAAATTCCTTCCCTTCCTTTATTTACAAATATGGATTTTTATTTATTGGTTTTACTTCTATTAAGGTATAATTAGTGGGAAATATAGACTTCATGGAACACAGACTATATACTATATTAACATGTGAATCTGTTTGATTTCCAAATCTGTCAGTTAATGGTTGTCCACACTTACTTAAATGAAGCTCAAAATTTTCATCTATAAAATAGGATAATACACCTGTGTAAATCACTGATGACACTATGTAGAACATAGTAGCTGCCCCATGACAGTAGCTATTATAGGTTTAAAATGCCTATAAGTTGTACTTAAAGACCAATGAATTTAAATAATACTAAGCAAGTATTGAAAGGGAATTTGACTTGTTTTGAGAATCAGCTTCAGGGTAGATATAAAAATGATTATTGCTTAAACCACTTACCTGGTAATACCATTCCTCAAGTCCTTGCTAGTCATCCTTTGGCCTGAGTTCACAGTTTCCAAAGACTGCCTGTGTCAGAATCACTTGGGAGTGTTTGTCAAAAGTGCAGGTTCCCAGATCATGTCAAAACCTACTGCATCTGAATCTTTTGCACATTAAAAATTTTAAGAACCAGGCAGGCATGGTATGGTGGTTCACGCCTGTAATCCCAACACTTTGGGAGGCCAAGACAGGACGATCGCTTGAGGACAGGTGTTCAAGGACAACCTAGGCAACATTGCAAGACCCACATCTTAACAGAAAAAATTTAAAAATTAGTTGAGCATGGTGATACATGCCTGTAGTGTATTCTGGAGGCTGAGGCAGGAGGATTGATCGAGCCGATGAGTTCAAGGCTGCAGTTAGCTATGATTGCACCCCTGCACCCAGGCCTAGGCAACAGAGTGAGACTGTCTCTAAAAAAAAAGTTCGTAAGAACTGCTGAGTGTCTATAGGGCATGTGGTACTTTTTTAGGTCACAAAGAGGCTACCTCCATAATTCGTTTAGATGTTGCCCTTCATTCAGAGCTGCACTAATGGGTGACATTGACTCTATGGGCTTTTGCCCTTAAGAAGCAGTTTACTTGCCCTTCTGCCCCACTGCCAGTAGCATAGACTGAGTGGGTTTCTGTTAGCATTAACGTCCTTCTTTTTTATCCTCTTTGATTCTGTAATTCTTCAGTGTTGTTGTAAGCAAAATGGAGACCAAAGAGATCCTGAAAGGGATCAGACAGGAAGAGAAGTGAGAGTGAACAAATACTAGGAAAATGCATGGCAGATACAAGGTTTGGGGAAAGTTTGGAATAGACAAAATCAATCGTTTAAGAAACAGTCGGTATCCACTGGGTACCAGGCATTGTTCTAGGCTTTGGGGATTCAGCAAGGAACAAAGGAAGACAAAGTCCAAATTCCCAAGGCGTTTACCTGGAAGGAAATGTGTATGTTTGAGAGGGTGGAAGTGTTATACAGTGCGAGTAAATGAGCAACATACTTTTCAGACAGAGAAAACTTAGGAAGACAGTAAAATGCAGTAATAGGATGGTATGATATTTATGTGTGTGTGCTATGTTACTTTAAATTGGGTTATCAAGAGTGACCAGACATTAACATTTAAGCCACGTTTGAATGTTAAGGAGTTAGCCATGGAAAAATCTGGGGTCAGAGCATTCCAAGACCAGGAAACATCCTTAAGATTGTTAACAGGGTATTGACTATCACAACTTTGACCACACAGGAAGGAACTTGGTATAATTAGGAGAGAAGATAAAGACCTGTGGGGTTAAGACTGCATAGTGAGCTTCCAGGTTCCTGGAGGGAGATGCAGGTGGAGAGGCCAGTAGGGATTGTACTATGTAGGCCTTTTAGGCCGTGAGAGGGGCTAATAGGAAGTTGTAGGCTGTAGTAGGGAGTTGGATTTATTCTAAATGCAGTGAGAAGTCTTTGGAGAGCTTTGGGCAGGGGAGTGATTTGATTTGTTTTACATTTTTAAGAGGTTGGTGGTGGGGTGAGTGTAACAGCAGGGAAACCTGAATGAGGGGCAGTAATCCAGAGGAAGGACAAGAGAACTAGTGTAAGGATAAGAATCTGTTTGAAGGTGCAGCTGACAGGGCTTGCTGATGAGCTGTTGCTTCAGCAATCTATTTCAAAGTGTATTTTCTCCATGTTTTTTCTTTCACAGGTTGACAGCTCTGTGGTGATAGGTAAGACTGATAAAGCTTAAATCCCACCTCCTGCCCACATCTATTAAATTTAGGAATGAGGGAAGCACACAGAAGCATGAGTAAAGCTGAGATTTTTTTTTTTTTTTCTCCTCCTTTACAGTTGCTTAATTAACCAGGAAACAAGGATAGCTGAAAGAGCCCCCAGCCTATATGGATTTAACTCCACTTGTTCATTTCTATGATCTCTTCATTCTTTGGGAACTAGGCTTGTGCTTTTGCCTTTCGTTCTTCTTCCCCTACCTCTTGACTCTATGGGGACTAATCACAAGATACATTACCTTCTGGCTTTTACTCAAATCTTCAGAATTCATTTGTCCATTTCTTTTGGTACACTGAGATCCAGTGGAAAGAGTACAAAAGATTATAATGATATTCTCACATGCTCAGAGTTCCTAGTCTGCAGTTTTGTTTTGTTTTTGTTTTTAAAGTGGGAAGGAAGGTTTATTTTTTTCCCGAGTAGTCATTTCCACCTTATTCCGATATC